GGCAGATCAAATGTGGGCAGAGAACAGCAAAGGACCTTACAATCTCAAGACTCTATTCCAGTGCCACTAAGTGTTGGTTAGTTGCTTCAGGAACATTTAGTCCAAATTTAAAAAAAAAAAAAAAAAACTTTGTCAAGTGCCCAATGAAGCTATTGATTAAATCCCTTTTTACCCACTAATAAGAAAATGAATGTCAATTTCAATTTGCTTTTAGAAAAATTGGACACGTGAACTCTGAGTTGTGGAATGTAAAACTTTTTTCACTCGAATATAAAATAATCCTAGATTCTTTTATTGCAGTTAGGAAATTTATTTAGTCTTTCTTGCAAACTGTCATTACGTCTCCAATTTTACAACCCACACCCCATACAGGCACCAGTGAATGATACATATATAAGATTGATTTAGTTGTATTGAGGGAAGAGCTTATGGCCGCTGCACAGATAAGAGTGTCATTGCTGGACCATAGAGTTTTGTGTCAGAAAATTGTAGCCCATAACATAAACTTTCTAGATGATCATCGGAATGAGAAATAATGACTGAACAGTGTGAACAGAATTAAAATACATAAATATCTTCTTTAATGGACAGGAAAGAAAAAGAATTCAAAAGAAGTAATATTTATCAAATATAAAAAAAGAGTTTCAGGTGAACTTGTTGCACAAGCTTCAGTAGTATTCAACAAGAAATATAGTCAAGTTGACAAGTTGTTGTTAAGCCTAAAGAGACTGAAAATGTTTTACTATCAAACAAGAAACAAAGCCGGCAAAAGAGAAAATACAAAATTGCACGTACTTTGAATATTTGCTTGCTTGACCAACCCAAATGATAACATTGAAATAAGATGACAGACACCAAGCAGAAAGCAACGAAAACTGAATCAAGTTCCAGTATCATGGCATTGGCAGGATTAAGCTGCTTTCAATTTTCCATCTTGCTTCTCCTTTCAAGTCTTTTCTCCCCAACAAGTTGCCTTAGCCATCATCAAAACAACAAACATGCCGCCCTCTTCATTTTTGGTGATTCCCTTTTCGATCCAGGAAACAATAACTACATCAACACTACCATCAATTTCCAGGCAAATTTTTGGCCGTATGGTGAATCTTTCTTCAAGTACCCAACTGGAAGGTTTTGCGATGGCCGTCTCATCCCCGACTTTATCGGTAATATTTAAGTTCCTCAACATCTATCATATTCATTTCTCTGATCTAACACCTGAATGAATGAATTATAGACCTTAGCTTACCTACCGCCCTAGTATTGTAACTTGATCGGATATTTCCGGAATACTTCAAGATGAAGACACATGTCCTCGGTGTCACTGATCCTTGTTATCGAGATCACGTACCCATCGGGTCACAAGTCCCCCTCTCCCCCTGAGGTGCTGATCAGGGGGATCGAGTAGCATCCAGTACGTTTTTATGTACCGACACGTTCCCTCGGTCTGATATGGTACATCGGTCGCTAGGCTCTTCCCTCGGCTCTGAGATGTACCTCTTCCTCGGTACCGAGATGTACCCCTCGTCCAGGATGCCGTTCTCTGCTCCACCAGAGGCTATTGATGTACAGGTCACTAGCCTAAGCTAGACTAGGTTAGCTATCATGACCTCGTCTTACACAATTGGTGTCAGAAGGCACAGGAAGGCAGGGGCCACAGCCAATGGGGAATGGACGCGTGGCATATTGTGTCACATCCGAGACAGAAAGACCGTATGCCCTTGCTGACACACGACTTGGGAAAGCAAGCATTTAATTACGTCATTCCCTTGATGAGACTGCATTCAATGCGGTAAGACTCGGAATTGAAAGACAATAAATGTCTCTAAGGCTGGGCATTTATTGCGTCCTCCCCGAGAGGAGCTCATTGAACAGTCGGCAGCACGATGACACAGTATTGATTGCTCAGGATCCCGAGCAGTTAAAAGAGAAGACATTCCTCATCAGAATCAGTGCGCACACTGCCTGTACCTAATGATCACCTACTGACTACCCTGACAGCAATCATGAGTTTTTGAGGTATAAATACTCCTCGCAAAAGGCAAGACGGTATGCAACAAAAAACCTTTGCTATAATACATACTCAGTGTTTTCTTCTTCCTCTCTCTCAAAAAGACTGACTTGATCGTCGGAGGGGATACGCCGGAAAACACTCCGGCGCCCTTCTAACTCGTTCTTCTTTGTTCCAGGAATCTTTCTTCAGCCTTACTGGATTGTTCTTTTGATCCACGAGGGTCTCCCATTACCGTTCCAGGTTACCACAGGATCTCACAGGCTGTTCCAAGCAGCGTGGTTGACCACTCCACTGATTCACTCGAGTTCACTAAGGGAGAGATCTATTCTCGTTTTTATATTGTGCAAAATCCAACACGCACAATCTGGCGCCGTCTGTGGGAAACGACTAGTTTTCCTAGTTTTTTCTCTATAAAGAACAGTGACCATGGTGAACACTCGACAAAAAGGGAAATGTCCTCACCAAACAAGTCTCGAATTACAAGCTCCCTGTCATCATGGAGGGAGGGATCACATTGATGGGAATAAAAATGCCTCTACTCAGTCAAGAGGGGTTACCCCTTAAACCAGTATGGGAATCAGGTCAGAAGGATCAGCCCCGTGGCTCGTCAGCTGGCGGAGGTGATCGAAGAAAATTTTGGCGATAGATTACGACAGTTGGAAAAGGACAATGTAAACGTCCTAAGCCGGCTCAACGAATTTACCACCTCCGACGAAGGGTCGATGAACTCATTCCTCTCTCGTGGGCTCCCCGCCCGGGAGGCGGAAACGAAGGATCTAAGGAATAATCTAAATAACAAGGCAGAAAGCTCTAAGGCCCCAAAGCGACCGAGAACCAACGAGCACCCTCCTGACGACCATTCAAGGAAGGCAAGACTGTTAGCCCTGGACGACCTCCGGCGAGGATTGTCTAGACGGAGGAAAGGAGATGAGTCCGAGGAGGATTCTACCCTATCCACACGGCGCCCAGGAAATGGGGGGCCTATTGATGAACTCAAAGACTTCAGAAGACATCCCGTCAGGGAAGAAATTGATCTCAGAGCCCGGTTGGAATCTAGGAGAAAGAGTAAGGCTGTCCAGGATGAGGCCGAAGACGAGGTCATGCAAACACCCTTTACTAGGGAGATCGGAGAGATGGAGGTTTCAAGAAAGTTTGTCGTGCCGAGGTTCAAAACTTATGACGGGCGGTCCGATCCCGAAGCCCATCTCAGGCAATACAAGCAGATGATGTCCCTCTATCATTTGGACCAACGATTCCTCTGTCGAGTGTTTCCTATGAGCTTGTGGGACTCTGCGATGAAGTGGTTCGAGGCGCTTCCCCCAACAGTATTGGATCGTAGAAAGAATTGACGAGGCAGTTCCTGGCTCGGCTCATTACGGTGAGTAAGCGGCCCAAAGACGTTGGATCATTGCTAACGCTCAGACGTAGGGAATCCGAGACCCTTCGTCAGTATGCCATCCGATACTAGGAAGAGGTAAATGAGGTAGAAGACTGCTCGAAAGTCATGGCAGCGGCGTCTTTCAGGCTCGGCTTGGCGAGGGACACGGACCTGTACTGATCCCTGACCAAGAAGACTCCCTCGGATATAGGCGAGCTGATGGCCCGGATAAACAAATACTCAAGGATCGAGGACGAGATGGGAAGCAGCAAAGGCCGAACCCTCCAATCTAAGAAAAAAGAGAGGGAGCAGGAGGATACACCCCGAAAGGGATTGCTACCCCCTCCAGGGGGTCATCCAAAGAAGTTCACACTGTGTTCAAGGAACCAATCTTCAAGTTGTTCCATAAAATCAAGCATGAGCTGTTCTTCAAGTGGCCCGCCCAGGATGCAGAGTGATCCTTCCACCCGTGATCAAAAGGTTAGGTGTTCCTATCACCGGGATTTCGGACATCACACCGAAAGCTGCAGGGCATACAAATCGTTCTTGGAAAGATTGGTCTGAGACAGACACTTGAAAGAGTACATAGAGCCCAGGCCAGAAGAGAGACACGCCCTTGCCCCGACCGAGGAGCCAGACAACGTCATAGATGTCATCCATGTATGTCCCCTGGATCGCCCCACGTCCAAGAAACTCGAGTCCGACCTCAAGAGGGTAGCTTTTACAAGGAAGGTAGCCGAGGATGATGGAGGGCCACCCAGTAAAAGGGTCAGGCCTGGTGAGCCCAGCATCACGTTCTCCGACGCGGACTTGACAAGTGTAGTGACTCCTCATAACGACGCCCTTGTCTTGACCCTGAAGATAGGAAAATTCGACGTCAAAAGGGTGTTGATAGACTCTGGAAGTTCCTCGGAAGTGATGTACTCCGAGACTTTAAAACGGATGGGTCTTGGCCTCAAGGACCTTACCAAGGTCAGGACACCCCTCATCGGATTCAACGGCTTGTTTGCCCTGCCCGTAGGCAAAATCACATTGTCAGTTGTCACGGGTCCTTTCGTCATCAACACCGAGTTTGTCGAAATTGATACGGACTCTCCCTACAACGTAATCATGGGGCGAACATGGCTACATGGTTCGGATCAAACAAATTCATAAATTTTCTATTGTTGAATTTTGTGACTTCTATGTTATTATTGTCACAGTATAGTGTAATGTTTGTGTAATATTAGTTTATGATTAATGATAAAAATGCGTGCAATGATGAACTAAAAATGTTGGATACTATTTTTTTGGATAATTAAATAGTTAGGAATATTAATAAATAGATTATCTATATATCTATAACTATAATGCATAGCATTAGTTTTTCTTTTTCTTTTTCACCACACACGCCAGTAGCCATTACTTCACGCGTAATTACATTAAGGCTAAAGCTGTAAAAACCAGCTACCGCCTCGTTCCTTCCGATTTACGCCCATCTTTGTCTCCTCCACACCTATATCAGCTCCCAGTAATCTAACCTAACTTTCACTAAACCCTGTTCGTCTTTTGCTCTCACTTTTCTCTGGAAACAAATATATCCAATATTTTCTAGCAAACCAAACAGAAGAGATGTGTGGTGGTGCGATCATTTCCGACTGCGTTCCGCCTAGCCGATCTCGCCGGCTTACTGACGACTTGGTATGGAGCCCTGATCTCAAGAAAAACCCTACCAATTACTACTCTAAGCCTTTGCGATCTAAGATCATTGACCTCGACGATGATTTCGGGGCCGATTTTCTTGAATTCAACGACTACTCCGATGATGTTAAACCTTTTGCATCCTCTGCTTCCAAACATTCTAGGCTTTCGCATGGTAACTATTTCTCATCTCATTCACCTGTTGCCGTTATTTTTTCATTTTTGGGGTTGAAGTTTGAGCATGTATTATTTTTTTGAGTTTCATGGTCCGTGCGCTTTTCCAGTCGTTTGCTTTGTTGATTTCTGGCATAAATAGGGATTGTGTTGTACTTTTGACCTGTATTTTCTCTTATTTCTCGTTGTGCTATGTGATTCACCGTCTTTTTCTTTGAGCTTGGAATATAATTTCTTTTTTTTTTTTGGACAAAGAGCTTGGAATATAATTGATTACTGATATTTCGCACCTCTCTATGCTTCATCTATTGAAGGAAATATAATTACTAGAGACTTCTCCCTTGGACGACTTAGTTTGACGTAAATTAATTCGTCAAATAATTTTGTAGTTCTTTTGTCTTTGGCAGTGATATTTTTTAGTGAATTCATGAAATTTGATTTTTCCGTTGAAATTAGCTTGTTGATGTTTATGGCGTTACTTTAATTAACTCAGGGAAAATAGTTGTCTTTTTACCCCTGAAGAATAATTTTTTTTCCTAAAACGGATTTCAGTTGGAAATAGCATGGTTTTTTTTGCTTAAATATTATTGTGCCGGAACTGGTTTCTAAAAAATTTGAATTTTTTTTTAGTTTATTATGGATATTTTTTTATAATGATATATTATTTGGTAATGGCGTTTAAGCTTTGAATTTGTCTGTGTTGAAAAATGAACAAATAAAATCTTGTGAAGGATGGGCGTTAATGTTTGGTTGATTTTTGTTTTTCCTTATTAGGACTTTTGTTTTACTCGATTTAATGGCTTTTTGGCTATTTGATCTGATTTACTGAATTTAGTTGCTTTTTGCCATTTGATCAGTTGTTATTTTTGCATCATGGTTTATTGGTTTTGAAATAAATATTGATTGCATCGAAGCTCTCTCTTTCTCTCTGATCTGACTGAAGCTTATTCTTTTAGTTCATCAGTCAGGGCTGGTAGGAATGGATTTTGATCAGATTTAAAGATCGGTTTAATGAATGATGCAAAGTCCCCTAATCATTCTTATTATTTCTGAAAGTTTTTTTTTATCAGGTGTCAATTATTAGGTTTCACAATTAAAATTTTGATTTTTTATTTATTTATTTATGTTTTACACTTATGGTGACAGGTTTTTTTGCTCCTTTTTCTGTATTTATTCTATCTGTGTAACCATGAGTCTGACCTCTGTTATTTTTTTTTTCTTAATTAAGGCTGTAAATCTATATCTGTGGAATCGAATGAGCAAGCTGAGAAATCTTGCAAGAGAAAGAGGAAAAATCAATACAGAGGGATCCGGCAGCGCCCATGGGGCAAATGGGCTGCTGAGATCCGTGATCCGAGGAAAGGAGTCCGAGTGTGGCTCGGAACTTTCAATACTGCTGAAGAGGCTGCAAGAGCTTATGACTCTGAGGCTCGGAGGATCCGGGGAAAGAAAGCGAAGGTGAATTTCCCTGTTCAAACTCCGCCAACTGTCTCAAATCACACTGTTAAGGTAAACACACAGAAAATACGCCCCAAGGAGGGCCTGAACTGTGCTCAAGTCAGTCTCAAACAGAATTGCAATTCAATGAATAACTTGGATCAGGATTGCTACAGTTCTTTGGGTTTTGTGGATGAGAAACCACGTACTGAGCAGTATGGTTATGCAGACAGTTACCCAGTCACTGGAGAGGTGGGGCTCAAATCATTTGATCCTTCAGATGGCATGTCTCTGTACTTCAATTCAGATAAGGGAAGTAACTCTTTTGATTATTCTGACTTTGGGTGGGGAGACCATTGCTCCAAGGCTCCAGAAATATCATCCGTTCTCACAGCCACAGTAGAAGTTGATGAAGCTCAACTGGTGGACGATTCTAATCCTACAAAGAAATTGGAGTCCAACTCTGTGGACTTGGTGTCTGGTGAAGAAAGCACTGTGAATAGTCTGTCTGAAGAGCTCTCTGCATTTGAGTCCCAGATGAAGTTCTTCGAGATCCCTGATTTTGAAGGGAACTGGGATGCTTCCGTGGACACTTTCCTCAATGACAGCACAACTCAGGATGGTGGGAACCCGGTGGATCTTTGGATGTTTGGTGACTTTCCTCCCGTGTTGGGGGGAGTTTTCTGAGCATCCTTGAGTCCACTTGCTTGCTTGCTGTAAATAAAGCTGCATGTCCGTAATTTTTGCCCTGGTAGTAGCTTCTTCCATGAAATATTTGTTTGTCTGCATTTGTTCCGATTTTGATTGGTGCTATATCTTCTATGAAAAAGGATGATGTTTATTTTTCTCTATGGTTCTTTCAGGGTGTTTGTTATTGGTGGTTGAGATGGTAGACAAACAGTTAAAGCATGCTTAGCTTGGATGATGATCTCAATTGGACTAGTTGTATGAGGAGTACATAGGTAATTAGGTTTATTTGACCTCGTGACGTTGAATTTAAATTTTCATGTTTGGTGTCTGTATGGTTGATGACATGTGATGAGAACTGAAAGGTTGATAATAAAAACTTTGCTTTTCGTCTTGACTCCCTTTTAATGGGTTATTGGTTCTTGGTTTAATTTGCTTTTTTCATTTTGAGAAGCTCCATGGCTTAGTTTCTTGGCCGTTAGGCGGTGTGTTTGCTAATCTGGTAGTTTCGGGGGCTTTATGCATCTCCGTATGGCAGATGAGGAATTGTTAAGAGAGCCCATCCCATATATACTTTTAAATGAAATTAACACCATTCTCTCAATGCATATACCTGGTGGCTTGCATTTTTATCAACTGGTCTTTATTAGGATGTGGATGGTTACTGGGCATGTAAGATGCAAAAGTTGATGCAACCAGCTTAACTTCTATGTGTGTTGCAAATTTGAGCACTGCAATTTGAAATGTGCAACGGGTCTATTTATTTTCTTGGAACTGGTTCATTGTTGTGAGTAGACTACTATGGGGTATATTATCTTAACGTTAAATCATGGTGGAATTTGAGAGAGATAGTTCTTTTATAAAATTTAATGTCCAGGTTAGATGCTGGAATACCATCGATCGAGCTTTATAACTCCAGGATTTGGGAAATAATTATCTGGGATTCCTTAATAACGCTATCACACATTCTCTTTTAGGTTCTCTAATTTTGTATGAGACAGCAACAAAATTGTACCTAGAAAAACAAGACACTGGAAAGTGAAACGCAAATGGAAAACGGAATGCCAAGCCGAGATATTGACAGGCTTTGATTTTGGTATAAATAATTAAATACACTGCCTCTTGATGTTATGAACTCCAAGATATTATTTAGGATGGTCTGATTATTCGGGTGGAGTTTGGAGTAACCTCTGCCAACGTGAGCCAATGACTGGTCACAGGTGTACTCCAGGAACAAGTTACAGAAGATGGAGAGAAATTTTGTGACGTGAAAAAGCATTTCTCGAAGAGGCTACCACTTCGATGATGAAGGGTGGGTTGGTATGCGAAAAGTGGTTTGAGTATGGGTGGAATTTGGGTTGGTGGGTTGGTATGCGAAAAGTGGTTTGAGTATGGGTGGAATTTGGGTTGGCTTTCATTGATTGACCATGGAGAGGATTTCTACAGGCGTCTAGATTCCATTAATACAGCAAATATATAGTCAACCATGGATGGCTACTTTAATTGGAGCCACCCTGGACTCGGCCTTCGTTTTGGCATCGTCATGTCCAAGAATATTGGGGCACGACCCGTCATTGCACAAGCCTCAATCATTCACTGATTGATTCAATTGACATCTAACCTCCCTCATCCTCTTGATGGTCAAAATTGAACAGATTGAATGCAGCGAAGTCCTTTGTCTCGTGCATGTCGCCAATATAGGGCAGTTCCTTGGCATCACTCTTTGCCTATGGCCATGGGAGTAGAGAGCAGAGAGCTCCATTATTCATGGAGCTGATGACAGTGGATTGCACTTTGTTTAACCATCAAGTTCTCCACTGTAAATTTGAGCAGATGCTGTCACAAGGGTGCCTTACATTGTACAGTGGGGTTAACTTCTTTTGCAACTCTAGCTATAGAATGATTTGTTTCATCGATTATATGTTCAGCACAGACATCATGTTCGAAAGAGTAAACCGACGCAAAGTTGGATTAACGGTAGCACAGGTATCTGATGCCAAGTACTTGAAATCTCGTTTCCACTACCACCAGTGTTGATTTTCTAGTCTAACCATCAGAATGGGTTCAAATAATCTGTTGTAATATTGATCACCCTATAGGCACTATGACCAATAATCTTTCTATCATCATTATAATCCCAAATAAGTTATTCCAGGTTGAGATGCCATCCCAAGGGCATACTTATGTTGTTCTCAGCTTCCTCAGGCCAAAAACTCGAATTAGTTAGCCCAGTATTCCACCTTTCAGTCGTGATGCCAACACACATCTGATTTTTTCAACTTCCTCAGGCCAAAAAATTGGATTAGCTAGCCGGTATTCACATTCTTATGTCATGATTAACACCACTTCCTCAAGTTAAATGCTAAATTAATCGTTGAATTTGTGAAAAATCAGCCAGATTACCAGACCAATCCCATTATGTTGACCCATGGTTAGTTCGTGCATGCCAATTACAGATTCATAGAAAAGCTCTTCATCTGGTGTTGGTATTAAAATTAACGAACTTAGAAAGTAGAATGAGTGATATGAAGTCATTCTTTACCCACAAAGTTGCTCTTTCACAATTCTAGAAGTACTTCATCTTCACTCCAAGAAAGGAATAATAGTAGAAAGATCAAGTCGGAAGAAAAAAATCACATTCCTCCAGCAGGAGGAAGTAGCTAGCTTCATTTATTTGTGAATCAAGAGGCACATAAACATTTTATCTTAGCTTTGTTCATCTCCAAAATGCAGGGCTTCCATGGCTTTGCGAGAAAGAAACTCAATTTGTTTTCTCTGCCAAGAATTCCGCCATGCGTATTCCTTTGGGATGTGCTGTTGCTTCTTCCTTGGGTACCTTCTGTTCACATTGGTCGTGTTGGGGTTGGCTACATTGATTATTATCTTCATCTTGAAGCCTCGAAAGCCCATTTTCTCTCTCCAAGCTGTTAACCTGGATTCATATAAACTTGATGTCTATTCAGGCTCAACGTTGTTTGTCTCATCAGTTGTTTCTCTGACCCTGAATGCCCAAAATCCAAACAAGGTTGGCATAAGATACAGCCCTTCACGCCTCCATGTTCTAAATGAAGGACTAGTGATAGGAATGATCCGAGTTCCTGGGTTCTATCAGCCTGCAAGCAGCAACAATGTAAGCCTGCAAATGAGGGGTTTCTTTCAGTGCGTGAATATTAGCCGAATCCTGTCTGGGGTTTCACCGCAAGATGACATGACAAACACTAGCATTTTTCAATTGAGACTATTTGGTGATATTACAGCTCGGTTGCATGTATTTCATTTCAATTTGCCAAAGATAAAGGTTTGTAATGCCACTAATGTGCCTGTTTCTCGTACTGTCTCCCGCTTATAGCAGAATATGGGATAGATGTGCGGTGGTAGACAATCTTATCCATTTTAGAGAAACTAATCCACGGACTGGAGCAGCCATCGTGAATCTCTAATGTAATTGTTTACTTTTTGATTTTCTTGTAGGTGGCCATGGACTGTGATATAGATATTGACTATAGGCAGCTTACGTTCAGCAATGAAATTTCCAGCATGAGAGGGGTTCTGGGTCATATTGTATGTATTGTGATTCGCATGATCTTCCTAAAATTACTATCATCATCTTGTGTAATTTAGTAGCCGTACTTTTTGTTTACAAATCTTATAAACAAAACCGCATTAAAATTTTCAGGCATATAATTTTCCTATCAGCTCCCAAACATTTGCGAAGAAGTGCTCGATGGCTGTTTACATATAACAAGGTACGGTTAATGAATGGCAACGTTAGAATATACCAATACAGTTAGTGTATGTTGTCGTGGTTTGGTTTTGCAGGTAAGAAATATGTTGTAAGCATGTGTTTAATCAGTTCCATCTAGATCGAGCTGCCCAGGAAGCTGTTGGACTTGTTCATCAGCGGCATAATGCATCTGTAATTGTTTTTTGTCAACACTAGTTTGTATAATGAGCATAACGCCAGAATATAAACGATTATCTTTTCATAAGTTGTTTGATGTCTCATCCTGTTTACGCTTAATCTTAAAATTATGATGGATCAACTGCTCAAGCACATGCATCAAGTTTAGTTTAGTTTAGGTGATAATGTATGTTGCCGTACATAGTTGACATTAGGGAAAGAAATATAGAAGAAAGATCAAGTAAAACACAGCTAATAATTGTGTTATATACAGTATTAGCATGTTCATCATCACTTCACTTCGATTTTAATGAAGTCAATGGTTCATGTGCTGCAATTATTATTCCAATAGAAAAGGTTAGAAAATACGTAATGTCACGATGAAATTAAATTGAGAGATCAAATTATTAATAATAAGGTGTCAATAATGTTGTGGCAACCGAATTTTTTGACCAAATTTAAAATATTGTTTTAATCAATAATCAGCAGCACCATCTTCTAATAATTTTGTTTCTTATTTAATTTTATTTTTAATCATCATAGCCATACCATAATTCATATTCTTTTTAAGGGGGCAAGTATTTTTGTGCCACATGATATGACATGACATGACGCAAGAGAACTGACATTAGATCGATCCACTTACATTGACTAGTTCCATTTTGAACTCATCCATTTCAACTAATTACAGATGAATTTATGATGTCCACTCCACTCCACTCCACAACCAAATTAAAAGATCCAAATAATTATTTAGGGGCACCGTAAAGACTTTCGGTCCAGTGGTATCTTTTCCAGACCTACCTCTGCCTACTATGACCCATGAGTAGGAGGAGGACGATCATGGGATGGGAGGGTTGGGGTGGATGACACGACATATGAGTTTGGTGGGAACTTTTTGGACAATGTAAGTGATATTGATATTGGGTGTAATTCTGATTTCTTCCGAACGATGAGAAGTAAAAGGGATAGTTTTTTTTATCTTTAAAAAAGAAAAATAAAAATGATACATTTCTTTTTTTTTTTTTTGCGTTTGATAAGATGAATGAAAAATAAAAATAATTAATTTTTTTTGTGTTTGGTAATATAAAAAAAATATTTTTTTTAAAAATATAAATACATATTTTATTATTATATTTATATATGAAATTAATGTATATATAATATATGTATATATCAAATGATATAAAGATAAATAAGATACATTTCAATACAAATAATTAACTTTCTATCAACTTTTTTTCCTATTTTGGAAGGATTGATTTTGGTGAGTTAGAAAAAAAAAACTCATTTATCCACTTTTTCATCATTCATATTTTCCTTTCTTATCAAACATTATATTTTATTCATTTTTTTAATTTTTCTACTTTTCTATCGTACTAATCAGAGCATAAGACTAATGATCTGCTTGATAGGACGGATGCAAAAATCCAACTGCAACAACAAATTATGAAAAAAGTTTGACAATGAAAGGTAAAAACTCATAAGATTCTCACTTGGACAAATTTGCAAACCAAGTAAATTGGCCTCAACAATTATTAGCTCTTGAATAAAATTTGCTTTTGTTGAAATTGTTCAAGTGGATAATGATGGGATTAGAACATCTAATTCTTCTTCCACTTATTTCGAAATAATTGAATTGTTTCAAAGGTTTGGCTTCGGGTCAAACCGGGCTATGCCATCCAAAAAGTCACAGCTCATACGGCTTGGACATGTTAATGGGCCTTTGACCCTGCCCTAGTGAAGGCCTTAAAAGATTATTTGAAATAACATCCCCTCTATTATTTAAAATATCATTGACCTCCCTCATAGTTCATATATCAGCTACATTTACTACCCTGACCGTCAGTACCATTAGAGAAAAACCTAAAAAGTGATTACTTCAGCAAATCAATACTCTCCAAATTCAACTCTGATTTGATTGAAAATTTAAGGTCGATGAATTTCAAAGGACCAATTTCTACTTTGGATGTGGTGGCGAAGAAGTGGGGTTGGCCATGGTGAGACAAAGAGAGATGTGGATGGCGGGGAGATGGTGCTACGAGGTTGTTGGTGGTTGCTGGCGATATTTTAGTTAAGAAGAAGAGAGAGATAAAGGTTATAAATATAGAAAAATGAGGAATCAATGAATAAAAAAAAGTTCAAGTGAAGGGTAAATCTGTAGAAGTATAATTTCCATCAACACGGTTGCTAGACAAAACCTGACAATTTTTGTCAGATTAAAGGTGGTTTTTATGTAATTAGACTAATCAACAGGGGTTGTTTTTATAATTTATTCTTTACTTTTTGAACTAAATGTTTATTGGAAATGTGTAAGGGTGCAACAATTTTTGTTGAAAACTAGAAAACAAATTCCTACAATCAACAAACAAATAATCTAGCTGGCTACGAGCTACTAGACTAGAACTCACTTATCCCAGAATGACAAAGGAATATTTATACTTGCCTTCATTTTAGGATAGACAGGGCACAATCCTTGCATTAATAAGGAAGAAACCCCGCGGGTGTTTAGGCTATCATTTTTGCAGAGTATCCCAAGAGAACTGAGGGAGAAGACGATAAAAGAGAGAAGAAACATCTTGGCCTTAACTTTTGTTTTAGTTGGCTATTTTTTGAGGGATCGCAGGGGCAAAAGGAGGTTGACTGACGAACAAGGGTCTAACAAGTGTGATTGTCACTCTCCCCAATCATTTGGGATGATTGTTTTCAATATGAGGTTGTCGGTAATGAAAATGACAATAGCCGAATTCAGGGCATATGAGATCTCATTTTTATTTACCTCAATAAAGTGGCTTTGATATTTGTCAAAATCCAACAACGCCTAGACAAACACGGCCATGATATTGAATGATAGCATCACGACATCATTCACGATGAGGAGGGTTGGAATCTTCTTCAAGTTTTAGAGATTAGAGTTGCAGATGAAAGCTTAAATGCCCTCATCATTCTTCTTTATTAATGCAAGGACTATGCCCCGTTTATCCCATCATTGAGGTAAGTTCGGATATCTATTTTTCTTTTTGAGGTAGAGTGAGTCTTCGTCCAGTAACTCATAGCTATTTCGATTATAAAGCGGTTATGAATATGATATATTTCATTCATTCTCCGGATCCTTCACCTCTCTGTTTCTTTACATAAGAAAAGGACTTGTACGAAGAGGACAAACTTCTTGTTGACAACAAGAATTTCGGTCCCTCTGATTCTAGTGAGAGCAGAGTGAATTTGCTAGAGTGAAGTGCAGAGAGTTTAGATACTATGATAGATTGCTACACATTAGATTTTCTTACAATCCTAGAGTCAAGAACATGGCCGCTCACTGGGTTGCAACGGCAGCCACGAACAAGTCACTACCACTGAGTTGGGTCAGTTGCCCCTCCCCACCGAATTACAGGATTTTTGGATGGTATTTTTGTTAATAAATAAAACTTTTGTAAAAGTTAAAAAAACGCAAATTTGATTAATGGATGAAAAACAACCTGAATTATATGATCTTACTTAAATTTGATCTGAAATCTAACGACACATGAACATTTTCTATTGAGAGTTCAATGAAATTAACTCTGATTTTAGAGTATGGGATAAATTGAGATCGTGTTATAATTTGAGAAGGTAAAAGTGGAAATTTTGTCAAATGTAAAAAGTGGACCACCACGTGTTTGGAGGGTCTGATCAGATCAGATCATTACAAAAGAAAAACAAACTAATGAAATAGTGTTAATACTCCAGTCCATATAGAAGAATATGATGAGTTATAAATAGCGCCATGAAGTAGATGACTTCGTGGAGATCTCGATCGGCAGGAAAGGAACAATGGCAGCAATATGCTCCCTCTTCATCATCTTGGTTCTGTGTACAGTTACCATCCCCCCAGCAAGCAGCCTCAGTGAATGCCACCGGGCTGAAAAGCCTCCATTTTTCTTCATATTTGGTGACTCTTTCTTAGATTCCGGCAACAACAATTACATCAACACCACCACACTTGATCAATCAAATTTTTGGCCGTACGGAGAAACCTACTTTAGGTTTCCTACTGGAAGATTTTCAGACGGCCGTTTGGTCTCAGATTTCATCGGTAAAACTTTCTTTACTTTGGTGTTATATTGCCTTTTAATTACAGGCAAATGTGTGGTGTTCGGTGTTCCTCTTTTTTATCCACTTGAATGTTCCTTCTTTTTTTTTTTCCTGATAATAGCGGAGTATGCAAAACTGCCGTTGATTCCTCCGTTCCTGCAGCCGGGGCTTCATCGGTATAACAATGGAGTGAACTTTGCGTCCGCCGGAGCGGGGGCTTTGGTTGAGACTTTTCAAGGAGCGGTAGGTACGTGTGTGGTATCATTGTTTAATTGTTGTTTTCACATCACGCAAAAAGGACAGGAAATTAAAGGGGGTTTGGTAATCGGGCATTTGCATCTACAGTGGTCTGCACCTTTTTGATCACCGACATTTCATTTAGTAATGTCTAAAAGTATTATAAGATTATCGGAATTTGGTCTAATGATATTTTTTATTTTGTGGGGCCCAGGGTTTAAATTTTTTCTCTTTCTCTCCCTTCTCTTTCAAAAAAAAAAATATATATATATATAATTTCTAAAGAGCAATATTATTGAGATCTAAAAATTTGATCTAATTTACTGACTTAATTCACTGTGACATTTGGATTGGTTGTAGGTCCCATCAAACATTAGAATTTGATATTGATCTAATGATTCTTATTAAACCACTTTATTATTATGTTAACAAATTATATTAAATTTTTAAATTTAAATAACATTTAGTCATACCTAAAAGTGTCCATACGCACACATGACTCAATCCATACATCACGAGATCACAGTTATTACTGATTTCGTTGCCAACGAAAAGTCAACCGTTTCTAGGCGTGCGTGCGTGTGGGACTAATATCAATTATTGCATCCTCATTCTATATATATTATATTATTGTTGTTAATATTCTTACTTAGTCAACCAAACGGCACTGTAATTTCTACATTTAGGGTGAAATGGATTCAATTCAATTCAAGCATGATTTTCTTCTGCCTGCCCCCTCCTCCGGGCAAGAGAGAGAGAGAGAGAGAGCTGGGCATAAGAAACGAGATGGAGAAATAACAATCTTAACCGCTTGGATTTGAAACATTATGACACGTGCTGATCATGTGTTTTATTTGAAGTTATTTTTGTTTGACTTAATATATTATGTTCATTATATTATATTAATAGTGGACTCATTTAATATCCGGTCTTACTATTAATTCAATACCCACAATATGTTGAATCCCAAAATTAAGTATAAATAATATTTTCCTTTTGTTATACAAAAAAAAATGATTTTTTATTTGAAAGATTTGAGTTTTTTGTGGGACTCTTTGAAACATTCTTAGTTGATGAACTAGAGTATCTAAGATTAAGGTGGAGAACGACTAGGAATGGATGTACATTGTACAACAACGCTCGAGTTAGGGAACAAAATATTAATAAGAGTAATGCTACATGAACTTAAAAAATAGACTTAATAATCTCAACCATTGAATTGAATAGATTGGTGTCAATATATGTGGTAATCTGGTAAATTTTATATACGAAAAGTAAGATTGAGAATTTCTATGATTCGTTAAAGAGAGAGAGGGGGAAAACGAGTTGGAATTAGTAAAGCAAACTCCTCACAACTGATATGAGGCTTCCAATTGAAATAATGACTATACTTAACTCACTAATTCCATTTCTAATATGACAAATGCGTTTTACAGGTAATCAATCTTCAGACACAACTGAGGTACTACAAGAAATTAGTGGCTCGGTTGAGTAAAGGGTTAGGTAATGCTCAAGCCAAGATGACCATATCAGGAGCTGTCTACTTGTTTAGCATTGGAACAAACGATTACGTTAGCCCTTTCGTGACCAATTCAACAATACTAAAATCCTTTTCTAACTCGGAATACATAGGAATGGTTATTGGCAACGTCACATCTGCAATCAAAGTAAGTTGAGCCTCTCTTTTTTCTTTATGCCTCTCCTTATATAAGAACTATGCTAAGAATATGGCAGCTTATATTACGGAGTCTTGCAAACAAGGCCTTGGGGTAGATCACCACGGAGTTGGTGCATTTACCGGTGCAAGTAACAAATTGGTCTTATCATCATGATTTTGGCAGGAGATATATAGGAGTGGAGGCAGAAAATTTGGGTTCCTCAACTTGGGTTCATTGGGTTGTTCTCCAGGACTGAGAATACTGAAACCACAGAACAAAGGTGGCTGCCTAGAGGAAGCTTCGGTGCTTGCAGAACTACATAATAAAGCTTTATCTAAACTGCTCTTGAAAATGGAAATGCAGTTACATGGTTTCAAGTACTCACTCTACGACTTCAACAATAATCTTAGACAAAGGATGAATCACCCCTCAAAATTTGGTACTTACTATTTCTTTTTTCTTTCCTTTCAACAAAATACCACCTATAAGAACCCTGATCATGTAAATAAATTCTAAATTTATTAGCAATGTGTTGAATTTTTGATCTTAAAGGTTTCAAAGAAGGAAAAATAGCATGCTGTGGGACAGGAGACTTTAGAGGGATATTCAGCTGTGGAGGCAAAAGGCCAGTGACGGAGTTTCAACTCTGTGATAATCCAAAAGAGCATGTCTTTTGGGACTCTTATCATCTCACTGAAAGAGTTTACAAACAAATGGCAGATCAAATGTGGGCAGAGAACAGCAAAGGACCTTACAATCTCAAGACTCTATTCCAGTGCCACTAAGTGTTGGTTAGTTGCTTCAGGAACATTTAGTCCAAATTTAAAAAAAAAAAAAAAAACTTTGTCAAGTGCCCAATGAAGCTATTGATTAAATCCCTTTTTACCCACTAATAAGAAAATGAATGTCAATTTCAATTTGCTTTAGAAAAATTGGACACGTGAACTCTGAGTTGTGGAATGTAAAACTTTTTTCACTCGAATATAAAATAATCCTAGATTCTTTTATTGCAGTTAGGAAATTTATTTAGTCTTTCTTGCAAACTGTCATTACGTCTCCAATTTTACAAACCACACCCCATACAGGCACCAGTGAATGATACATATATAAGATTGATTTAGTTGTATTGAGGGAAGAGCTTATGGCCGCTGCACAGATAAGAGTGTCATTGCTGGACCATAGAGTTTTGTGTCAGAAAATTGTAGCCCATAACATAAACTTTCTAGATGATCATCGGAATGAGAAATAATGACTGAACAGTGTGAACAGAATTAAAATACATAAATATCTTCTTTAATGGACAGGAAAGAAAAAGAATTCAAAAGAAGTAATATTTATCAAATATAAAAAAAGAGTTTCAGGTGAACTTGTTGCACAAGCTTCAGTAGTATTCAACAAGAAATATAGTCAAGTTGACAAGTTGTTGTTAAGCCTAAAGAGACTGAAAATGTTTTACTATCAAACAAGAAACAAAGCCGGCAAAAGAGAAAATACAAAATTGCACGTACTTTGAATATTTGCTTGCTTGACCAACCCAAATGATAACATTGAAATAAGATGACAGACACCAAGCAGAAAGCAACGAAAACTGAATCAAGTTCCAGTATCATGGCATTGGCAGGATTAAGCTGCTTTCAATTTTCCATCTTGCTTCTCCTTTCAAGTCTTTTCTCCCCAACAAGTTGCCTTAGCCATCATCAAAACAACAAACATGCCGCCCTCTTCATTTTTGGTGATTCCCTTTTCGATCCAGGAAACAATAACTACATCAACACTACCATCAATTTCCAGGCAAATTTTTGGCCGTATGGTGAATCTTTCTTCAAGTACCCAACTGGAAGGTTTTGCGATGGCCGTCTCATCCCCGACTTTATCGGTAATATTTAAGTTCCTCAACATCTATCATATTCATTTCTCTGATCTAACACCTGAATGAATGAATTATAGACCTTAGCTTACCTACCGCCCTAGTATTGTAACTTGATCGGATATTTCCGGAATACTTCAAGATGAAGACACATGTCCTCGGTGTCACTGATCCTTGTTATCGAGATCACGTACCCATCGGGTCACAAGTCCCCCTCTCCCCCTGAGGTGCTGATCAGGGGGATCGAGTAGCATCCAGTACGTTTTATGTACCGACACGTTCCCTCGGTCTGATATGGTACATCGGTCGCTAGGCTCTTCCCTCGGCTCTGAGATGTACCTCTTCCTCGGTACCGAGATGTACCCCTCGTCCAGGATGCCGTTCTCTGCTCCACCAGAGGCTATTGATGTACAGGTCACTAGCCTAAGCTAGACTAGGTTAGCTATCATGACCTCGTCTTACACAATTGGTGTCAGAAGGCACAGGAAGGCAGGGGCCACAGCCAATGGGGAATGGACGCGTGGCATATTGTGTCACATCCGAGACAGAAAGACCGTATGCCCTTGCTGACACACGACTTGGGAAAGCAAGCATTTAATTACGTCATTCCCTTGATGAGACTGCATTCAATGCGGTAAGACTCGGAATTGAAAGACAATAAATGTCTCTAAGGCTGGGCATTTATTGCGTCCTCCCCGAGAGGAGCTCATTGAACAGTCGGCAGCACGATGACACAGATGATTGCTCAGGATCCCGAGCAGTTAAAAGAGAAGACATTCCTCATCAGAATCAGTGCGCACACTGCCTGTACCTAATGATCACCTACTGACTACCCTGACAGCAATCATGAGTTTTTGAGGTATAAATACTCCTCGCAAAAGGCAAGACGGTATGCAACAAAAAAACCTTTGCTATAATACATACTCAGTGTTTTCTTCTTCCTCTCTCTCAAAAAGACTGACTTGATCGTCGGAGGGGATACGCCGGAAAACACTCCGGCGCCCTTCTAACTCGTTCTTCTTTGTTCCAGGAATCTTTCTTCAGCCTTACTGGATTGTTCTTTTGATCCACGAGGGTCTCCCATTACCGTTCCAGGTTACCACAGGATCTCACAGGCTGTTCCAAGCAGCGTGGTTGACCACTCCACTGATTCACTCGAGTTCACTAAGGGAGAGATCTATTCTCGTTTTTATATTGTGCAAAATCCAACACGCACAATCTGGCGCCGTCTGTGGGAAACGACTAGTTTTCCTAGTTTTTTCTCTATAAAGAACAGTGACCATGGTGAACACTCGACAAAAAGGGAAATGTCCTCACCAAACAAGTCTCGAATTACAAGCTCCCTGTCATCATGGAGGGAGGGATCACATTGATGGGAATAAAAATGCCTCTACTCAGTCAAGAGGGGTTACCCCTTAAACCAGTATGGGAATCAGGTCAGAAGGATCAGCCCCGTGGCTCGTCAGCTGGCGGAGGTGATCGAAGAAAATTTTGGCGATAGATTACGACAGTTGGAAAAGGACAATGTAAACGTCCTAAGCCGGCTCAACGAATTTACCACCTCCGACGAAGGGTCGATGAACTCATTCCTCTCTCGTGGGCTCCCCGCCCGGGAGGCGGAAACGAAGGATCTAAGGAATAATCTAAATAACAAGGCAGAAAGCTCTAAGGCCCCAAAGCGACCGAGAACCAACGAGCACCCTCCTGACGACCATTCAAGGAAGGCAAGACTGTTAGCCCTGGACGACCTCCGGCGAGGATTGTCTAGACGGAGGAAAGGAGATGAGTCCGAGGAGGATTCTACCCTATCCACACGGCGCCCAGGAAATGGGGGGCCTATTGATGAACTCAAAGACTTCAGAAGACATCCCGTCAGGGAAGAAATTGATCTCAGAGCCCGGTTGGAATCTAGGAGAAAGAGTAAGGCTGTCCAGGATGAGGCCGAAGACGAGGTCATGCAAACACCCTTTACTAGGGAGATCGGAGAGATGGAGGTTTCAAGAAAGTTTGTCGTGCCGAGGTTCAAAACTTATGACGGGCGGTCCGATCCCGAAGCCCATCTCAGGCAATACAAGCAGATGATGTCCCTCTATCATTTGGACCAACGATTCCTCTGTCGAGTGTTTCCTATGAGCTTGTGGGACTCTGCGATGAAGTGGTTCGAGGCGCTTCCCCCAACAGTATTGGATCGTAGAAAGAATTGACGAGGCAGTTCCTGGCTCGGCTCATTACGGTGAGTAAGCGGCCCAAAGACGTTGGATCATTGCTAACGCTCAGACGTAGGGAATCCGAGACCCTTCGTCAGTATGCCATCCGATACTAGGAAGAGGTAAATGAGGTAGAAGACTGCTCGAAAGTCATGGCAGCGGCGTCTTTCAGGCTCGGCTTGGCGAGGGACACGGACCTGTACTGATCCCTGACCAAGAAGACTCCCTCGGATATAGGCGAGCTGATGGCCCGGATAAACAAATACTCAAGGATCGAGGACGAGATGGGAAGCAGCAAAGGCCGAACCCTCCAATCTAAGAAAAAAGAGAGGGAGCAGGAGGATACACCCCGAAAGGGATTGCTACCCCCTCCAGGGGGTCATCCAAAGAAGTTCACACTGTGTTCAAGGAACCAATCTTCAAGTTGTTCCATAAAATCAAGCATGAGCTGTTCTTCAAGTGGCCGCCCAGGATGCAGAGTGATCCTTCCACCCGTGATCAAAAGGTTAGGTGTTCCTATCACCGGGATTTCGGACATCGCACCGAAAGCTGCAGGGCATACAAATCGTTCTTGGAAAGATTGGTCTGAGACAGACACTTGAAAGAGTACATAGAGCCCAGGCCAGAAGAGAGACACGCCCTTGCCCCGACCGAGGAGCCAGACAACGTCATAGATGTCATCCATGTATGTCCCCTGGATCGCCCCACGTCCAAGAAACTCGAGTCCGACCTCAAGAGGGTAGCTTTTACAAGGAAGGTAGCCGAGGATGATGGAGGGCCACCCAGTAAAAGGGTCAGGCCTGGTGAGCCCAGCATCACGTTCTCCGACGCGGACTTGACAAGTGTAGTGACTCCTCATAACGACGCCCTTGTCTTGACCCTGAAGATAGGAAAATTCGACGTCAAAAGGGTGTTGATAGACTCTGGAAGTTCCTCGGAAGTGATGTACTCCGAGACTTTAAAACGGATGGGTCTTGGCCTCAAGGACCTTACCAAGGTCAGGACACCCCTCATCGGATTCAACGGCTTGTTTGCCCTGCCCGTAGGCAAAATCACATTGTCAGTTGTCACGGGTCCTTTCGTCATCAACACCGAGTTTGTCGAAATTGATACGGACTCTCCCTACAACGTAATCATGGGGCGAACATGGCTGCATGCGTTGGGAGCGGTGCACTCCACTTACCACCAGAAACTGAAATTTGTCACGCCAGAAGGTATCATGGAGATCCGGGGGGACCAAGCGTCTACAAAAAATTGTTTTTATTCAGCTGTTAGAGCCGGGGCGTTCACCCAAGAAAAGGGGCGAGTCCCGGAAGAGATCATGGAGAAATAACAATCACAGTCCGGGCGTCCAGGAATGGACGACCCCCGGATAGACCTAACTGAGCGGTCGGTGGAGGACCTCCGGAAGGTGCCCTTGGTGGAGGGAGAGGAAGAAAAACATTTTTTAGTTGGAACCGCGATGCCTGCAGCCGAACAGGAGGAGATGATTGAGTTTGTAAGGGAAAATGCGGACGTGTTCGCTTGGAACGCAATGGAAATGACGGGGGTAGACCCCGAGATAATCACGCACAAGCTGCATGTTGACCCGGCGCACAAGCTGCATGTTGACCCGGCGCACAAGCCAGTCAAACAAAAGCCAAGACGTATGGCCCTGCATCACGCCTGCGCGGTCAACGAAGAAATCGACAAACTCCTGAAGGCCAACGCCATTCGAGAGATATAGTTTCTAGAATGGCTATCTAACACGGTTTGCGCAAAGAAGAAGGGGGGAAATGGCGTGTCTGCGTAGACTTCACAGATCTAAACAAGGCCTGTCCCAAGGACGACTACCCCCTACCAAAGGTGGACCAGCTAGTGGATGCCACTACCGGATATGAACGCATGGACTTCCTGGATGCCCGAGCGGGATATCACCAGATCCCTCTCCATCCCCCAGATCAGGAAAAAATGGCGTTTATCACTCCGAAGGGAGTTTACTATTACAAAGTGATGTCGTTTGGACTAAAGAAGCCGGGGCGACATACCAAAGACTGATGAATCGGATGTTTAAAAAGCAGATCGGCAACACCATGGAGGTCTACATTGACGATATGCTGGAGAAGAGCAAACGAAGTTGTGATCATCTGGCAGATTTGACAGATACCTTCTCCACCCTCAGGGAGTACGGGCTGAAGCTGAATGCGGCAAAATGCATTTTTGGAGTGAAATCGGGTAAATTTCTCGAATATCTGGTCAGCCAACAAGGAATCGAACCTAACCCGGATCAGATTCAAGCGATCCTGAACATCCGGAGCCCCCAAACTGTCCGAGAAGTCCAAAAGCTCATGGGGATGCTAGCAGCACTTAACCGTTTTGCCTCACGCTCCTCAGACAAATGCAAACCCTTTTTCGGAGCAATCAAGAGTGCTGGAAAGGATATGTGGAGCCAGGGGTGCGAAGACGCCCTGGTTGAAATCAATGAATACCTCAAGACTCTCCCGACCTTATCCGTCCCTACCTAAGGGGAAATGTTCTTCTTGTACTTGGCCGTGTCTGAATTTGCGGTAAGCGGGGTGCTCATTCGTGAGCATAAGCACCGCCAGAAGCCGATTTATTACATAAGCAAGACGCTCCTGGACGTAGAGACAAGATACCTGCCCCTAGAGAAATTGGCTCTATCCTTGGTCACCACTGCAAGAAAACTGAGGCATTATTTCCAGGCGCACCCAATTACCGTCCTTACCGATTAGCCCTTAAAGGCCATTTTGAGGAAAGCAGAGCTCTCCGGAAGGATTTTCAAGTGGGCAGTGGAGCTGGGGGAGCACGACATTCATTTCAAACCTCGAACCGCAGTAAAGGGTCAGGTATTGGCGGACTTTATAGCTGAGTTTTCGGGGGAACATCCCATCCTAGAAAGTCTGCC